ACTTAACCTTTATTTTTCCTAACCTAACCTCTTCTATATTAATTGTGTGTGCATACCATCATAAAGTTAAGATAAAATTTTTACTACAACATAGTTGTGTGTCGTCAAAAAGTGGAGTTTGGGGGTCGGACCGGTCTCTATTTCAATTAATCCCATATGTTATGTTATTCACTTTACGCGTTTCTCACTTTCCGCGGTACCCTGTGGGTTACATTAACCGCGTAAAGTGAGACCCAACTGTATATCAAACTCACTCAGTGAAGAATTTTAATATCAGTTCACTATGTCCCTTCAGTGGAAAAATTAGCACCCACATATGTGCATATTTACATACATACATGCTAAAAGTAAATGGAACCAGAAAAACAATACGTACTTGAAATGATATGAATAAAACACAAAACTACATGGCAGTATTTTATTACTATACATGTCCTGTTTAGTACTGTAGATAGTATACAGTACCATCTCCGTTAGCCGTAAACCCTCAAACCCGGAACTCTCTGGTAGCCAGAATTTAAATTTTCTCGGAAAATCGGTCACAAAGCCAGAATTTTCCGGAAAATTTCGGCTTTGGAAATGATTAACGAGGGGCATATTTCCGGAAAATTACGACAAAATTTTTCCGATACCCGGAAAATTCCAGGGATGAGGGATATTTTTTCGGGTTCGAGAGATGTAATGGGCAGTGTATATATATATATATATATATATATATATATATATATATATATATATATATATATATATATATATATATATATATATATATATATATATATATATATATATATATATATATATATATATATATATATGTATATATATATATATATATATATATATATATATATATATATATATATATATATATATATATATATATATATATATATACAGTTAACCCTCACTTTACGCGGTTAATGTAACCCGGAGGGTCCCGCGTAAAGTGAATAACATAACATATGGGATTAATTGAAATGGAGTCCGGGCCGATCCCCAAACTCCACTTTTTGACGACACACAACTATGTTGTAGTAAAAATATTATCTTAACTTTATGATGGTATGCACACACAATTAATAATTAAGAGAAATATCAATAATATTAGGTTTTTAACACTTACATTAGTAGAAAAAATGGCTGGGCACACGGGGATGGGCGGTTGGTTCCGAGGCAGAGGGCAGATTATTGGCCCTCACCTGTGTCACTTGTATCAATTGTATCACTATCCACCACAGAGGCTTGCAGGGCCTCTTTGTCAAACTCCCCAAAGTCCATATAAGTCCATATCCTCACCATAATTATCACTATCACTGACTTGGGCCGGCTGTGGTGGGTGGGTGAAGAACTGGTAATGTTTTGATGACTGGGCGACCTTGTGCGCACCATGTTCGCGCAGCTTACACAACATGGCGGATGGCGGGAGGTTTGGATCCAAAAATGGCGCGGCTCGCCAGCCGCTCTCCGCGTAAAGGGGTACACGCACCGCGGAATGTGAGCATCCTGGGTTCCGGCAGGGCACCGCGTAAACGTGGAAACGCGGAATGTGGGACCGCGTAAAGTGAGGGTTAACTGTATATATATATATATATATATATATATATATATATATATATATATATATATATATATATATATATATATATATATATATATATATATATATATATATATATATATATATATATATATATAAGATCTTTACCTGTAACTAGAATTAAACAACACAAATACAGTGTTAGGACAGGCCAGGAATCCAATGCTCTGTTTGTTCATTTGAGCGTTAACAAGTATTGCATTGACTGGGATAATGCCTCCTCAATATTACCTTGTAATTCAATTGAAAGTAGGAACATCATAGAATCTAGTCTCATTAAACATACTGAAGCATTCAACATGAATTTGAGTAATGGCCTGTACAAACTGGACAATTTTGTAATTAAGAAAATTTGTAACCAGGTGAGAAGGTTGGGTCACCTTACCCTC